AACTGACCAACGCGGATGTTTATGAGGTTATTGCTTAAAACTGCCAACGCTGATGTTTATGAGGTTATTGCTTAAAACTGACCAACGCGGATGTTTATGAGGTTATTCTTTAAAATCGCCAACGCGGATGTTTATGAGCTCATTGTAAAAAAGGTAGAGAGGTTAAATAGTGGAACAAAACAATCTTGAATGTATGAATCAACTTTTACCCGAACTTGTAGTTATAAACACGTTTCCTCTTTTTCATTACCATATTCTTCAAACTGTCGCAGTGAGTTCATCGTGCAGCCCTGCGCTTAAAAACGAACAAACAAATACTGTTTTCGCACAGTTGTAACGGAATTATGGATTTTTGAGAAACTTTTCCATCTTTACCTAGAGAAGGTTGGGATCGGATAAGATTCCAGAATTCACTCTCTACCTTACTCAGAATTTCGCAAGATTACGGCTATAATTGAAACGCGCGAGCATATGTGTGTACGTATATATTGTGATGATGTAATGATATTAATAATACTTGCTTTTTTTATCTTTGAAAATTATGTGAGTAACTTTTGATGTGCTTTACATAGAAGCATCTTCAGTTAAAATAACATTTGTGATATAAAGTATGGGTACCCCTCTCCCCCTAAAAAACAAACAATTGCGACTCTAGATGATCTCTAATATGCTATCTGTCATAAACAATAACAAGAAAGACGTTTTGTGTATGCTCTGTTAATGGCAATATGCTACCAAACTGTGCTTTGACGCAGGAAGCTTTAGGAAGAACGATATGGCCTGGTTTGAATTAGTCCTCTACGGAATTGCTAAATGCAGAGAATTTTGCGCTTATAAAGACGTTAGATATTGTAAGTTTTTCGGAGAAATTATTCTCCCGAAACTTCTGAGCTATAATCTATGTGGATCTTCTACAAAAAAACATAAAGTGGACACCTAATATGAAGCTGTTACTGGGAGTTTCGTCCAGAAACAGAACACACATGAGATTATACTTGTTGTAGCTGATCTAGACTGGGATTCTGCTGACGATGATGTATTGATGTAGATGAATAAATGATATTAGTGTGGATTCATTCGGGAAATAAGTAAAATAGAATGGTTTAAGGTGTGTTTCAAATGGGTATCATATAATACACAGGCAACCAATACTGATATTTTGTCGAGCGATAACGTAAATGGCTCTACAGCGATATGACAAGATACATATTGTGAGATTTTAAAATAAATTTACAAATTAATTTTTACAGAAACTGTCGGACCCCAAGAGAGGGGGTGGGCACCAGTGAATATGTTTATTTTTGACATTTTCATGTAAAACGCCCCGACCAAGACCTTATAGGTTGAATCCGCTAGTGGTTACAGAAGTAATTAACATTTAATATTAACTCTCATTAACATATATGACTGTACACGTTTGAGGCCGCCATCTTGGGCATCATACTATGGTGCAGGTATAACATACAAGTGGTCGGTATTATCTGACACGGTTTTTTGTGCGCATTTTTATCCACCTGAAATGAGCCATTTTAGGCTCTTATTAACACGCATCCTTTGAGAGCCCTCCTCCCCACCTCCGATAGGTCAGCAGCAAGCTACAAATTGGGAATTAATATCCTCGTTGGGCACAGCGCAGACAGCCCAATGTATCTTTGCGCTTGATAAACAAAATCTTTTGAGTAAGGTTCTTTGGCAAACTTAAACAATTTTTTGACACGACACACTTGTAATTAAATATATAAAACATACAACGATTAAGACTGAGATTTGAATGCCAATACTAATCATTTGACTTTTTACACGTTTTGGAGGAAAAACTGGTGCAATGGTGAAATACACATTTGAAATTAGACTTTACTTAAATGACTAAATCATCCATTTTTGTTAGTCAATTATGTACATTTGGTCAAAAGATTGAATTTAAGTTATATTTTCAGCAAAATAAAGGGAACAGCAGCGGTTCATGTGTGGACTTAGTTAGAACTCCAAGTTTGAGGAAGAAGAGTCTGAACATTTTCTTTAATTGGTAGGTTGATTAAAATAATGCATACAAGTGACCAAAGTCAAACCTATGTGGAACTGCAACTTTTTATAAAAAATAACCCTATTAATGACATTTAATGTTTCAATTTATTAGTGGAGTTAGTTTTCGTCAAAACTAGTGATGTTAAACAACCAAACGCACGCGCATAGATATTGAGAAATATATTGATTTTTTTTTTTATGTACTAAAAACTTTGTTGTTTTTCTCTAGTCATTTCCAAGGTTATTTGAATCTGGGAATTATAACTACATTAACATATTTTAGTGTGTGTATATATACTAATATTGTGAATACATTTTTGATAATGGTTCAAAACATCTGCAGTCGAAAATATTCTTTACGAGTAACGATGATATATTAGATATTCCTTAATGTGTCAATTTTATCTCTGATATATATAGTTAGCTTGCTTTGATCACAAGTTAACGATATTTATCACAAAAGATGCAAAAGAAAAGCGAATAAGTATAAAAATGTATCAATACTTTTTATGTGAGCCCTTTGCTTTATACATAAGCATCTTGTTTTTAAGCTGACATACAGTTTATCAATGTATGATTGTGGGATATTATTCCAAGTGTCCTACAATTCAACCAAGTTGTTGGGTCGGCTTTTGAATTTCTTAGTTTTTACATAAGCATATATGGCCTTAAGAATGTTCGGGACTGTATAAAGGCCAAGCAATGATTGTTAGTGTTCCGTCGGTCTCTTTACCGTCATAGTATCATTTAAAAAACGTGTTGTATACAGGGATCATTCTCTTGTTGAAAGATGAATCCCTATGCAGTGAGTCATGTTTTTGAGGAAATAGTATGCCGGATCAGAATTTGTATATACTTGCCAGCACTCGGGTAACATTCATACCTGTTTTTAATTGACCATCGTTAATCTTTTAAATAGCATACCATGAGATACTTAATATCTCGTTTGGAGAGTTTCGGTTTTCTACTATGACCTTAACAGTGTCAGTTTCACGTACCCTCTTCAGTCTTGCAAATAGGTCTTATTTGGGTTTGGAGTCTTGCTGCAGTTTATCGCATGAAGCATCATTGACCAGTCAAAACCTAGACTTCTGCACGCTTATCGTGAGCTTTTCAGCCCTGGAATCCACAAATGGATTAACATTACCATCTCTACTACTAGTATTATTACTACTGGGCAAAGTATGGCTGCCTGCAATTTTATTGGCCCTATACTGGTTGTGGGACTTATGGTTGGATGATAACTATTCTCAATGTAAAGTATCAAGATATGAATGTACTCTCGTGCAGTCCATTTCCACGTGGTAAACAGGTGACAGTCCTATAGTATTTGCCTTACTTACCATTTGATTTTTCTATAATTATACCTCATACTATACATACATGCATACATACATACAAATACCCACAGATAATTGTTCTTCATTGACTTAAAAGTAATAATATTTTTATAGGTTTTAGAGGCAAATGCTTCGTAACTAGGCAGCACATTTAAAATAATAAGTCGCCTTTCATTGACTTAATACTAAAGTTTAGTCGCGTGATAACTTCATCATAATAACAGGTTTTAATTAGTAGAAAATTAATAAGATTTCGAGCATGATATACAATAGTTTGGTCTCGGAGGAAGTCGAGAAGCTGATGTTTTTAGTCCATATATATTTTAAAGAATTATCACACAATAATTTGATATTATATAGTTAAAAATAGATTTATAAATTTCTTGAATAATATTTGACAACTTTAATCTTATTTTATGCCCATTTGTTACTTCTTATTGTGGTGGCGCATTTAAAAAATCGACATATTTATGGAAAATAATCTATCTTTGTTCTGGTATACTCACGTAAGTTGTTTTTTCAAAATTTTCGTGCAGGTGTTCTGTGTATAGTTAATGTATTCACAAATAGTATGTGAAAGGTCATAAGCTTGTGTAATTCCCAATTTTGAGACGAAAGTTACAAACTACAGGTATTTTTTTCATAAAGCTTGTACTTGCTTTACATTGTTTCTGTGTCATCGTTTTCTTGAGTGAGTATGAGAGAGATTTAGTTCTTTCGAATATGTATAATGGGAGCTATCGTTGACATACCTAAAATGGAATGGTGGAACATTGGATCATGAGATTGGGTTCTTCGTTATAATATTCAGTATTCTTCTCATATAAACGTGCTTCATATCTATTCCAGCAACCAAATGACGTCATACAAAATATTTCTAAGCCAGCCAGCGAAAGTATAAACCCAGCACAACATCATGCCTATGAAAGTTAGTTCACACTTAGATCTCCATGTTAGATTTTTATTCTCCACCAAATCGTTCTAGGATCTGCTGCTTAATTAATGTGACTGAGAACCTATGTTTTTGCCCTCTGTTTCGGAACACTAATATTGTTTACACCAGTTTGTAAAATAATATTTCCCAATAATTCCGATGTAGAGAACCAGGTCAGAACAAAAGCTAATTCGAGCACATTGCTTAATTTAACTCTTTTTAAAAACTGACAAAAAAAAAGCTAAAATACCTTTTACCCCAGGTTATAAATGCCTTTGTCTATTATGATTATTTTTTTTAAACTCATATTTATTAACTTGTTTATTGTGTTAACTAATCGTATTTTTTCCACAGGTTTGTTAACTCCTTTGTTTATTATGGATTGTGTTTCTTCACAAACGACCTTGGCGGTGATCCATTTCTGAACTTTCTTATAGCAGCAGCTCTCGAATTTCCGTCGTATTTGTTTACTATGTTTGTGCTTAAGCATCTAGGCCGAAAGAAGCCTCTAATGATAAGCATGATACTCAGCGGTTTGGGCTGTTTTTTGTCCATTTTTGTTCCAGATGGTAAGTTCTGATTTTTTAAACACAGACACAAAATAGGGTTAGAAAGTAAAATGTTGCCACATTGTTGTTTGTATCGCTATTCCATGACAGACTTTAGTTAGTTAGTATAGTTGGATAACTTGCTTTTAAAACCATTATGCAGGGGTGTGTTCACTGGGGTGGCGTAGGGGGGGAGCGAAGATCCTCCCAAATGGGACGGCTTTGCTATCACGTGTGAATTATTACGATTTAATATTTTAAGATTTTTAATTTCTCCCTACAATGTGATTCCAACTGACAAGAAAGGGCTAATTTTTTTTTGACTAGCGAGGTAGTTTGTACTTGAACCGAAAGAAGAATCTCCAATCAGATGAGACCTAGGAGGAGAGTGGGGGATAATGGTAGTTAATGCACTAACCCATGAAGCTTTGCAGCATAGAAAGTCTGAGGTAATTTTGCTTTTTTTTATAATTAAGAAAGAATAAATATCCTTCTGAAATAGAATGTCGAACGAGGGAAGAGCATTCACGAAGCTATTACACAGATAGAGGCGTTTAACTGGGGGTACGTTTTAGCAATTTGACCAGGTTTGACTGGTCATCTGATTGTCTATGTAATAAATGTTTTAAACACATACACTCTCTCTCTTTAAAATGGGTTGATGCAAGATTTTTATGATTAAGAAATTAATATTTGTTGCATTTTGTCATGTCATGTCCCCCAGTGGCTCAGCCTTAAGTTTAAAGGCAAATATAAATTTTCGCTAATTGTAATCCTTCCTATTTTAGGAGGACGGATCACTACTGTAAACACCCAAGTTAAACAACTAATTAACAAGTTTTATCCCCAGATTAAGTTACGCATTGATTACAAATGCACCTTCAGAATTCATAAGACTTTCTATCACAAAGACATACTCCCTATTCGTTTATCAATATACTTCTGGTGTCTGCGACGCTACCTATATTGGCAATACAAAACGACAATTAAAAATACGTAGCAATGTCATACAGAACTGGTAAGAAAACAATAACAAAAAACCTACAACAAGTAAATTCGTGTCCCTCTCCCATACAACTACATAAGGAAGACTACAAACAAAAAAATTATTCAAATAACTTCAGAATATTAACATCAGACTCATTTAAGCAGGAATTACGTATTAAAAAGTTAATATCCACTGGATGCCCAAAACATAACAATAACCAGAGAGCATTTTAATTATGACTTATTTTAATTTTGTTTTTAGTGACTGTTTGAAATATTTATTTTACTTGTATCATGTTTTCTGTCTTTAATTCTGTTTCTATTACCCCGATATACCTTTTTTAAAACCATATGACATATGTGTATGAATTCGTTCCATCTCCGATGCATTACAGATCGCCAATGATGGTTTTTATGTATATTTCGAAACGTCCGAATATTAAAGATGTTATCAACCGTAGCCGTGATTTTCATGTTCTTTATTAAGTAGAAAAACATTTAATAATTTAAGTAACTGCTCAAAAGTAATTAAACTAAATACATTTTCTGCTAGCAAGTTCATATTATATATGTAAAACGAACCAGATTTTATTTTCCTTGCATCTACTGCCTCTTAGATCATCCCTTGTTCTCTATTACCACAATATACATCTTTCCACAGATATGCCTTGGTTACGAGTAACGGTAGCTATGATTGGAAAGTTCTGCATTACCGCTTCTTTCGCCATTGTGTATGTGTTCACCGCCGAAATCTTTCCAACTATTATACGAAACATCGGTGTTGGACTTAGTTCAACATTCGGCCGAATTGGATCAATAGTGGCTCCATTTGTAAAAGAAATAGTAAGTTTGTTTTATCGTTGTGGTTTCTAAAATAATAAAAATATTTTTGTGTACAGAGAACTGCCACAACAGTACATGTTTTTCTAGAAACCTTTATAACGTATAAATCTTGAGTGTGTTCAAGGAAAAGCTACAACAGTACATGTTTTGCTAGAAATGTTTGTAATGTATAAATCTTGAGTGTGTTCAGGGAGCTGCCACAACTTTACATGTTTTTCTAGAAACCTTTATAACGTATAAATCTTGAGTGTGTTCAGGGAAAAGCTACAACTGTATATCTTCTTCTAGAAATGTTTGTAATGTATAAATCTTGTGTGTTTACAGGGAACTGCCACAACTGTACATGTTCCTCTAGGAATTTTTGGTGGCGTTGCAGTGTTAGCTGGAGGTTTAGTGTATTTTCTCCCAGAAACCAGTAACATGCCCATCCCAGACACGTTGGAAGAAGCGGAAGAGTTTGGAAAGTGAGTTTTGTTTTGTTGAAATCGGAATTACTTACTGATTAAACTAAGTTATTTTTATGGTTAATTTACTACTTAAATTACTGATTCAGTTGCATACTGTTCACTAACGGGGGAGGATGATCCATCTATTACATCCATTCGGATTGAGTGATTTTATTTTCTTGCATGTTACATATTTAAAGAACTCCCCCCAAAAAGATGTAAGTATTATTTTCTATATAAGATACTTAGTGACCCTGTAGTAATGGTAAAATTAGCTGTGCCTTATTGATAGTATTTTTCAGATAGTTTAATATTGCTCGAATGTTATTAGGGATACTCTAACCAGCAATTTCATAGGCCCACAAGCAATATGGTTTATAAATAGCTTGGACGTCTTTAAAATGTCGATGGTGTAAATATTCTAGGGTTAGTAAAACAATACCCAGGAAATCGGTTTCTTGAACTATAAATTCCAGTCATCCGTGTGTGTGTGTGTGTGTGTCAGTTTGTAAGGAATAACGTTTTTTAATATATTTGAACTTAGTTATTATTATGCAAGATGTTAAATTGTATAAATAATTTTATACTATTACGAAGTTCTATTTTTCTTTATTTTCAGACATAAAGCTAAAGATCAAGAAAAGTTACCTCTTCTCCAATGAAACTGACATTACTCCAGTATTGTATTTTTAATGATTTAATTTGTAGCTTTTTTGGTATAATTTCTAACTTAGATTGTACTTTATTCTAATTAAAAATAAAGATTAATGTTTGTTTTTCTTTTTATCTAAGTGTTAAATTGATTTTCAGTTACTTAAAAAAATAAAATGCAAATTACGTTTAAATAACGTCTTAATCATAAAGCGTATTAGTTTAATTGTAGTTCAGAGGAATATACTGAAGGATTTATACACTCAGATTTCGAAATATATGTCTAATAATGTTTACGGTGTAAGTCCACACACGATAGAGAAATAAATTAACTGTATACTTGTTCTAAATTTGCAAAATGTTTTGAACGAGACCTCTTGGTACTTGATCATTGGGCCTTATTTTTCACAAAATGCTCAAATAGTAATCTTTCTTGTATGAAGCTTTATCTTGTACTTCCTCAAGTGCTCTGGAGCTATCGTTAGGACGTGCATAACGTTCTAAGAACCAATCGCTAGTTGATCGTTTAGGACCTGAATAACGTTCTAGGAATCAATCGCTAGTTGACTGTTAAGAAAATTATACACTTGCTGGATATTTTAAAGAAAAAGCTAAATGTTTTTTTTTTTTATACATTGAAATAAAGTCCATTATTTGTTTGGTGAAATGCTAAAGTTGGTTATTTGTTGTCTGGGAAGTATGTGTATAAAAAGAATATGATGTTTGTTGAACGACAACTAAGAAATTAGATATTGTGGCAACCAACTTGATAAAGTAAGATACAAACTTATCCCGCCTACATAATGAAATTCTTCACAAAGAATGTTGAACAGTTATATATAGAATTAAGTTGATAACTTAGTTCCACACATATTTCCCTTTGTGACGACCAATTGAGCTTTAATTGATTTATCTTGAATAAACAGTTTCTGTTTAAAAACGACATGGTTGCGATGAAAAGCAAATTCAGTGCACTTGGTATTGTTTAGCATTTAGTTTTAGAGCTATCTGTTGACACGTGTATTTATTTAATCATACAGGGTGTAAGAAAAGTGAAAGAAAATAGAATTATGTGTCACGTATTAACTAATATTAGATAATAAAATACACGTTGGAAGTAAAGCCATAAACATCAAAATTCGTAATATCTTTACTTTTATATAAATGTTGCTTAAAATTTGTTCATAAGTGTACTTAGTTTTGCAATGCCAAATCCCAGAACAGCCAAGATGAACAATGTTTACGATGCCGTGTTGCACTTAATATTGAATTTTTACACTGATATGACACCAAACTTAATAATCCACAATGAAAATATGATAGAACACCATGAAAACTGTTATACCTTAGGTAAAGAAGATTTATCTGTGAATATATTTTTATGAAGATGAATCCATTCTTGTTAATTTTAATATCTAAAGGAACACACAATTAACTGTGACACTATTAACTGTCATTGACTGTACCGCAAAAGGTAGTTTTCATCAACAACTGACATTGGTTGCACAGCTAAAGGAATTTACCAACGTCAACTGACATTAGCTGCACAGCTAAAGGAACTTAACACTATCAACTAACATTACTTTTGTAAACTTTTCACAGAGTCTATAATAATAAAAACTAAAGAAATATAAAATGCATTAATCTTTAAATCATATAGATAATTAAAAGGTGTGTGTAGCTCAGGGCTAAAAAGTTCATAAGAGACAATTATTCTAAAGTAGTGAGGTTGCATGGAAAAAAAAAACAGTTACGTATTACCATTTCAAATGAG